TCGGGCACATTTTGTGAAGAACTGTCTTGACGGACCTTACCAGGCGTTCCCATGAACCGCCCATGTGAGGTGCGCCCGGTGGATTGACTCTCCACTTTATGCCATCGAACTTTTTTTGAAGCGCCGCAAAGCTGACATTTTTAAGCTCTTCGCGGATTAATTTAGCTGTGGCTTTAAAATTCGTCCCGTTATCCGAAAATATTTCCTTCGGCGTACCTCTTCTAGCGATGAAATTTCGCAGGCACATAACGCACGAGTTGGTGTCAAGGCTGAAGGCAACCTCCAAATGGACGGCACGTAGCGTGAGGCAGGTGAATATGACACCCCACCGCTTTTCCCTGTGTCTACCAACGGTGACCATAATTGGTCCGAAATAGTCGACCCCTGTAAAGGTGAACGGTCGCTCGTGGCTAGCCAGCCTTGATGCAGGTAAACGTGCCATCTGTGGAAAATCGGGCTGCACGTTGTCGATTTTGCACCTTTGACAGCTTTTACGCACTGTTTTATACAGCACACGCAGTTTTGGTATGTAGAACTTTGATCGAATCAAATTCACAGCAGTTTCGGGCGATGTGTGATGAAGCATCTCATGGCAACCTTTTACAATCAAAAATGTCACGTAATGGCGTTTAGGAAGAATTATAGCGTCGGTGCGGCTATTTAAGCTATTCGCTCTGCCCTGCATTCGCAAAACTCCGTCCTTATCCAAGTAGACGTTAAGTGCTATTAACGAGCTTTTTCGCTCGACTGGATGCCCTCTGCTTAAAAGACACATCTCGGATTGGTATGTTGATTTTTGCGCCTGTTTATAAAGCGCTAATTTGGCCCTTTGTAGATGAACATACGCCAGGTGAGTCGGTTCGGGCGCTTTACACCGGCGCGCATTTACCTTTGCCAGATATAGAATCCATAGGACAACAGCTCGCTATAGCCTTCGCCAGTCTGAGTAATATTCAACAAACATGTTGACGCACGGTGTTGGATGCATATGTAATACGCATTTTCTCGTTTCAGACTGATTTGTTGGTCCAAGATCTGCACAGATGGACCATTCCTCTACGCATTGTTGAAGAAAAGACGGACCACAGAGCCACATTTGGCTATCAATTTTTTTGTGAATTTTTGTGGACAGGTCCGCTGCATTGGATTTTGAAGGTACCCACCGCCATTGGCCGGCATCTGTAGTTTCGAGCAGTTCTCCAATACGATGCATTTTCAGCCATCGCAGAACTGTTTTCGAATCTGACCAATAAAAACAGCTGCGTGTAGTTAAATTGCGGGTGCCCTTGACCTTCTGTGTAAGTCTAGCACCGATCACGGCGGCCTGGAGTTCGAGCCTGGGTATAGATAACGGCTTGAGTGGTGCGACCTTCGACTTGGCCGCGACGAGTGAAACTGTAACGTCATCACCACACTGAACGCGTAGGTAACAAGCGGCGGCATACGCGGCTTCACTGGCGTCTACAAATGTATGGATTTGTATATTTGATGCGTCTTGGAGTAGACGAGAATAACATCGGGATATTTCAATACTCGAAATGTGTAGCAGTACTGTTTTCCACTGATGCCACGCCGGATGAAGTTTCGGTGGCAGTTCATCATCCCAGCCGCAGCCCAGTTGCCACACTCGTTGCAGCAGAATTTTAAGGCTGATCGTATACGGTGCTAAAAGGCCCAGGGGATCAAATATGGACATCAGTACCTGAAGAGTTTCCCGCTTAGTCGGTATGACATCATCGCGAAGAACATCTCTTTTTAGTCTTGCAAATCTGAAAGTGTACTTAAAAACATCTTTGTTGGGGTCCCAATACATACCAAGAACTTTTTCTGAATCGCCGAGTGTGACAGGCGCTTGAATTTCATCACACGTAAGTTGATGGGATCTCACGACCTCAGCCGAGTTGGAGGCCCAGTTTCGTATAGCAAAGCCACCAGCTGCATGAATGGTGCGAACCTCGTCAGCTAACGCCCGAACTTCATCTTCGTTATCCATTGAGTCGATAAAGTCGTCGACATAGTGTGCTTCTTTTATGGCTTCGCACGCCCGTGGATACTTATGCTCGAACGATTCAGCATTCGTATTGCGCACGTAGTGTGCTATACAAGGGGCACACCGAATACCAAACGTCATCGCCTGCATGACGAAAATTGTTGGGTCATCCTCTTCGCTGTTTGGCCACCACAAAAATCGCTGTACGTGCATATCGTCCTTTCTGATGTTAATTCGGTGAAACATCTCAGCGATGTCACCGCATATAGCCACTTTGCCCACTCGAAAAGCCATTAGAACGTCGATGAGCGGTTTCAGTAGGTCGGGACCGGTCATCAGAAAATCATTGAGAGAGTGTCCGTTTGCCTTTGCGGCAGCATCCCACACCAGGCGCGCCTTTTTAGGCTTATTTGGGTTTAATGCTACGAAGTTTGGCAGATACCACACGCGACCATTTTCAGCAAATAACTCTGCTTCGGATACCTCTCTGGCGTAGCCCTTAGATAGTAAATTGCCGATTCGCTCGTCAACAGTTCCTCTGAGCACCGCATCGCTTTGCATTTTAGCTTTTAAAGCCTTTGCACGTTTCAATGCCGCTGGATAACTATTTGGCATACTCACTTGATCACTTTTCCACAATAGACCGACTTCATATTTATCACCGACCTTTTGGCACGTATTTTTCAAACTGTCGATAGATTTGGCCTCTTCGCTGGACGTCATGTTTCTTGGTGCGACAGTTTCTAGATCAAAACTGTTTTTCACTGCCTCGTGCATCTCTTCCCAGTCGCATGAACAGTTGTGTACGTTGGCAAATGCCCTTTCAGACTTCCCGCTGGCACCCTGTATTGACCAGCCCAAAATGCATCTGGTTGCAATTGGTTCACGCCATTTCCCTTCTCGCAATTTCCGAGGAACTGCCAGTTTCCAATTATTGATACCAATGAGTATAACCAGACTTGCATTCGTGTACGAAGATATCGGTACGCCCAGCAAGTGGTTGTACCTTTGTTTTAAGATGCTGATATTGACCGTTTGCCGCGGGAGGGACAGGTTGGCGACGGTGTGCACGTCATTGAGCCAAAACTACTGCCGACTGCTGATATTTGCATCGATCCGCGAACTGATTTTTTCTCGGTCCTCGTAGTTTCGTTGGTCCAGCGCAGGCAAAGCGGATCTGGTGTGCCCTTAAGATTTAATTCATTGAATATCCGTTGGTCAATTAGCGTGACCGATGAACCTTCGTCCAAAAAGGCATATACTTCTATGTTTTTCTCACCATTATACAGCTTAACTGGTACGATGAGAAACAGTTGTGAGCTTTCCTCGGCTTGTGATTGGTGGGCGCTTACC